ATTCTTGTTACTATATAGATGAGAAAACTGAGGCTTTAGAGAGCTTAAATAATTTGCCTATAATGGGCACGTTTTTTGCTGACATTAAGGAAGTGGTGGAACCTAGCCAGGCCTTTCTACTCTAGCTATGTCATTTGCTTCCACTTGCTGTAAAAATCAAAGAAACCTTACGGTTCTCACATCAAACTGATTTCCTATGGAAGGCTGGCAAGCTGGCTCCTAAGAGCTCTCTTAGAGTATCGTAGAGTATCTTGGTGAATTTACCCAGGATTTGGCCTTCAGGCTTGTGGGCTCCAAAGCTTGGCGTTTTAGCCCACAAAGAATAGGTCTTTGTCTTAGGAAAAACTCACTTTAACCACACTTTCAAGGATATTGGATTCAATAGGAATACCAATTAATTATTCTTCTGTAATAATTAATTTAAAATTTTACATGAACATGTTTAGATAAACAATGAATTTTCTTCCTGTAGAGAGCTAAGAAAGACAAATCAAAATATGAAGGATGTTTGATAAGTATGGAGTCAGAACACAGGACTTAGTTTGATGATTCATATATGTGATGGCCCCAGATTTTGATAACCCATCCATATTCACTGGATGAGGGTATTTAAAGCCAGTAGCCTTTGCTGTATTTCCACAATAGGAATGATCTTGCCATTTACACCAGTATATGAGCTTGATTTGTATTTAATTTTTATTTTATTAAAATAATATTTTAAAATATTAAAAGTCTATAAAATTAAGATAATGCTTGTTCTAACCTGTTTTATTTCTTAAGGAATTCATAATTCTTAAAATGGAAAAAATGTTAGGCATCATCTGGTCTTATGCCTTTAATTTGCAGATGCATAAACTGAGACTCAGAGAGGGTAATTGGTTTAATAAATCTGTTGATTGATCAAAAAAAGACTCCTGGGTACTTTCTGCTCTTTCATGATTCCTAGTAACCCGAATGAATTTATATACCTCTGCAATAACTTTCTACCAGAGAAATAACTTACATGGTGGGGAAAAAAAAGTAGAGGCTCTTTATGTTGGCTGACTGGTAGCTGCTTCAACAGCCGACTTTCTTGAAAAATAATTTGCATCTCTACTCTGGCGAAGTAACTGGACTGGGAAATGTAGACATGAAGAACTATTGTTCCGGCTTTTCCAGTCTTCAAAACAGGCTGAAACTTCTGTGCCTTTGTCTCATTGGTATAAATGGGATGCATCTCTTGTGTGAGGGTACTTTAAAAAGTTCATGGAGGGCCGGCCCGTGGCTCACTCGGGAGAGTGCGGTGCTGATAACACCAAGGCC